ATTCCCGTAACGCATCGCCGCACCGCGAGAATTTTCCGATTGCACCACATTTCGACGTTGATTGGATGCCATCTCTTTGCGAATCTCTCTCTGCGATCGCGAATTCATCGCTGAACAATACGGTATCTGGGCTTACGCGCGCTTTTAATTAAACTTATTAAGCTGTTTTAATTTGCATTGTATTATCGTATTGCTGTTGCGGCCGCTTGTGTAAGCTTAAAATATCTTCAGTGGCTTTGAAACGGCTCTAAAGTAGCTTTTAGTGGTTAAATTAATAAGATTATTGCTTAATTGAAACTCCATTTATTTTAAACAGGCCTCATATTAGCTTATTTACGGTGATGCATTTTAATAGCGCGCCGTTATTTCCGGAAAACTCCCCTCTTAGCAAGTTTTCATACGTCTGCACTATTTTTGTTTTTACATTACGAAATTACCTAACGTTAACATGTTATTTCCGACGTAAAATGAGAGTATATAATTTAACGCGTTGTAAATGTGCTACAATAGTAGATTGAAAAGGGTTGAGATTGCCCGAGCGCGCGGTGGGTTAAATTCGCGTCTCGGCATCCTACTCGTCTAACTTTCGGAATAAACAACTCGTGTTTTGCACCCACTCCCTCCCATACGACTCTCGTACGCGGGCTCGAATTCCATCAAGGTGCAATTAGCATACAGCAACGGAGCGTGCGTGACGGTAAGAGGCGCCGAATGGACCGCGGTGTCGTGGATAATTTTCGCGGTGCGACGTATGGCAATCGCGCGACGTGTCGAAACTTCGCCCAGTTGCGAAGTTATATTAAACGTTCCGGCGGGAGGAAGGGTGAGGAGGAGGGGGAGATGTACGCATATTCACATGTCTCCGCCTCGTCCATGACGTTGCGGACGTTGTGCCCTTTGTAACGGCAAGTGCCAGTTTCGTGCGTTATTATTTGTGGTCCGGTATATGTCGCTCTATATTGCCGTTGAATTATATCGCGAGAAAGTCGAGAGGAGGAGAGCGAGAGGTGAAGAGGAGAAGGAGACGGAGATGTGTGTCAATTAAATTGAGATGGAAATGCGCGCGCGTCTCTGTAATGTGTGCATGGAAAGAACAATTTTGTTGGATCCAGATCTGAAAGTAATTTTTTGTTCAATAATCAAAATAATTTTGTGCAAAAGTCAAAATGATTGCTGTAGATTATCAGAACGTTTTATAGCAATGCTTATCAGTTTTAACATTCCAACAAATTATTTTGATGATTCAACTAAAAATTATTTTCAGATCTGTTTTCAGCAGCAAATCGTTCTTTTCGTGTAAGTAATAAAGTGTCTCTACATAAATAATTTAGAAAGAAAATATTTTTAAATTGAATACCTATGGCGAATAAAATGATGATTTTGCTTGAAAACTTTTCAAATTTTGCGAACAAATATTCTAATAGCTATAAACGCTGACAATGCAACGCACATCAGCTCGCGATTCAGCGCAACTGTCATCGTCGTACGGGAATATCAACTTCACAAAGTACAGTAGCAACTCCGTCGGTGCTGTAGTCGAAATTAAATGCAAATATTGCAAAGTCGAGACAACACTGCGCGAAGTCTTGGACTTGCACCTGCCTTTACGCAACACGCGGCGCGGCGCTCCAAGACGAGTTTCGCTCGCAATCGGAAATAAGTACGAAACAAAGCGGGCGGCTATCGTGCGGTTCACGAAGTATTACGAGTATCCCAAGTGCGCTGTTTAAAAACTTTCGCGCATTATCTGCATATGTTGCATCGGCCATATCCACCGCAGTGGTTCCGTAACGGCTGCGTTCACCGCGATGATATTCGCCAGTTTTGTGATTTATTTCATCTGCGAAATACATCGCGAGCTCTAATACACTGTCGCACAATACGAGAAATTTATTTGATCTGAAAGAATAAAAATATTTTTGGAAAAAGGAATACTGGAGGAATACTGAACCAAAGTGTAGGAATAACATATCAAAGATTTATGATAGAAACATTTTTAATATTTGATTTTAAATGCTTATCTCTTGTATTCTTATTTTAATTTAGTTTATTGTCTCGTATATCCTATCTGTTTGGGATATACAGCATTTTTAGCACGTAGGATTTATGCCGTAGCACAGACGCTCTATTATTTATTTATAAATATAAAAGTAAATAATAATATGTGATAATACGTTCTTTACAATACATTAATCATAACATTTATGTATGTATATACTTATGTATGTATTAATACATATGTATGTATTAATAATACTTATTTATAATCTGTAATAATACGCTTTTTATTTATTTATTAATGAGTAAATGCAAATTACGTTGTCAATTCACGTGTTATTCACTATTATTATTTAGATTTTATGTATATTTTTCGAGTCATTTATTCCATTCATGAGTAGCCGTATAACTCATGAATGGAATATTTTTATGAGGCAAAAATGCAAGGGTTTAAAAAAATTTCTTTTTTAATATAAAAAATAATTTTGATTCCTAATATTTTTTAATAATAGTAAACAGTATAAAGTTTTTACTGGCATAGTTCATTTAACTTAAACTTAATAGATAATATCTGACAAATTAAGTTTTTAATAGGTGCGGCGTATATATACCGGGTTTACCCTACTTATTTATGTCAGTAAAATTTGAATGAAATATAATAATACTCTATGTCCATAATTACACATATTGCATTAAAATTTGATTAAAATTAAAATTAATATAAAATTAAATATTACACGACCGGATTTTCACTTTTTATTTTTATCTTTATGTATTGAATAAATTTCATGTCAAGTAATTCCAGCAGAATCACCGTTTCCGTTATGCAAATAGACGTTTCGCCCTGCGGGTAGATTTAACCGACGAATAAATATGTTACTCATCTAGCGAACACCTTGGCATAACGAACGAGATGGAGGAGCGAGGGAAGGGAAGAAGTCCATCAGGAAAATTGAACAAAACTCAAATTGATCCGGAACTCGCGGATCCCCATGGCTTTTCGTCGAAGCTTTCGCTTGCTGTTCCCGACAGTAATTAAATAAGCCGAGTTATACGGAGGAGGAAAGTTCGCGAAATTCGCGAACGCGCCGCGTGTACGTTAAAACCGTCCGGCCTCTGGAAGTTTGAGAACAAACGTTATTGCACGACAAAGGCATCGCTAGCGATATCATCTGCCGTCGTATTTATGAAATCTCACGATTATCATAGACAAGACTATCGCTACTGGATTACGAGGAAAGAAACGTGAAAAGAATAATATAAAAGCTGCGGAAAAGAATAATATAAAAGCTACGGAAATTCTCTTAAAACATTTTATTTTTCTCTCTGTAATAGATATATATAATTATAAAACTATCAAAATATTTATTACTTTACTTTATCAAAATATCCATACTTTAAATTAAATAGAAATAATTTGTTGCTACTTTTGTATATATTATTAACGTGTTTAGTTTCTAAAAAGTATTTCAAAAATTTACAATTTTAAGAAATGTTTATTATATCTTTTTATTAAAAAAACAACGACTGGAGCTTTATTCAAGAATTTATATAAAAAATAATGTATGATATAATCTCGGTAAAAGATGGCTTGTTAGGGCAAAGAAATCCTTTAATTTGTGTGGCAATAGTGGGATGCTTTTTCTCTCTTGGCTTGAATAGAAATTATTTTTTCTTTTCCCGCTGAGAATATTTTTATCTATACTGCTTTTCCCTCCGGAGTTATTCATATGCTAGCGTTTATGAAGTTAGAGTGAATTATTTTTCAAGCGTTATTTTGTGCCAGAATCGATCTTTTTTTATAAACTTTGCAGTACCACTGAAAAATTTTAAAGAGAATATAGGATATCATTGGACGAATTATATTCAAAAATTACGTGTCAAAGATATTTATTTATTTATATTAATATGAGCCACATACTTTTGCAATGTATTAATACGTTAAAATTAAAATTATTGTTTAATCAATTAATTGTATATTTAATAAATAATATTAATATTAAGTTAATTTTAAAATTATGAAGAAATTACAATACAATATAATGTAATATAATACAATATCGACGCAGCAGCGGAAACCATATATGTTACTCACCACACTATTGATAAAAGAACATAAAATTAATTAATTAAAAATTAAACTGTTAATAACACGTTTTTACGTGATAGTTAAAAATAACTTTAAAATGCCTGCTTATTTACAATATAAAAATCCTAGAGATAAAAGCTTTTTTTTTTTAACTTCGAATCAGTTGCCCCATCGATCGAACATAGCAGATTAAAAATATTGAAGCAAAAGATAAAAACGACACACAAGGATTTAACAGTAAAATAACAATACAATTGTCAAATCCTTGCGTATTTAAAATGAAAAATTTTAATTAATAATTTATATTGATTTAAAGTATTTTTGATGCGCGTATTAAAATTTTTTCTTTTGTAAACATATTGTATTATGTGTTTCTTTGAAAGAATAACATTCGACTAAAAAAATTCTTATTTATCGTGCCGTCGATCGATGCGACAATGTGTCCTCTCTGTGGATGGAAGAGGGGAATGTTTTTCTCTAAAGAGCAGCGCCTCGTGATAGAGAAACGATATGCCGTTACGTATCGACGTGCTTGTAATGGAGCTGTCGAGCAAATTTTCTGTGATACAGAGCCGGGGGGCGCGCATCGTATCGCGCGTTGACTTTAAATACAATGGAAATCGACCCTTATCGCCTTGCTGTCACCTCGATGCTACGGTTACTCATTATTCGCACTCAAATCCATCCAAGGAAGGGAGAAGATTAGAAGAGAAAAAACTTATATATTATTATTTTAGAGAAAATCTTTTACGGGAGAAATGTATGTAATGAAAATCTGCGTATTATATCATTACATATCAATTATGACAGAATAATATGTATCATAAAAAACTTTCGAAACAATCTCATCGTTTATTAATGGTCACAATTGCAATGCAATGCTCAAGTAAAACATTCAATTTTTCTGTTTCAGGATCATGATGCACCGGTTTCTGTACAATTCCCTTATCCTTAAACTGCTGCTGCTGACAATCTTGTTCGCGTCGTCGGGTCTGACGGCGGGTCTGTCGAAGTCGCGCGGCAAAAAGAAACTCACCAAGGAGAACGTTTGTGACATTAAAAACCAGCGGTCACCGATCTTCTGTTACTGCAACAACTCCGGCCTGCGAAATGCCAGCGACGTCGATTGCTGGGTATTGGACAAGTTCGATCAGAACGATCCCATGTGGAGTTACTTCACATCGCAAATCCAAGTCGAAAAATTGTCGTTTACGGTGCGTCAGGGCAGCTTCGACTACGTGCCCAGTCAGCTGCTGCAGCAGCTGAAGAATTTGCGCGAGTTCAAGATCCAATATGGGACGCTCTACGAGATTGCGGAGCACACTTTCAACAATCTCGGTGTTGCCAAGATCAATCTCAGCCGCAACACGATCATCGTGCTGCGCAAGTACGCCTTCGAGAACATGCGAAATCTCACTGTCATCAATCTTGACTATAATCGCATCTCCGAGATTAATAGGTACGGATAACTGATATTAGGTAACGAGTAGTTGTTTAACAGAGTTGGCCCCATTATAACTTTTTATCGAGTTTGTTAATTTAACGAAGAAAATTTATTTGTTATTTACAATTTATATTAGTGTTTATTCTCATTAGTAGGTATTCATGTCATATTTGGGCTATTTGCATTACTTAATGTTGAAAAAATGAATATAATATATGCATTAAAAAATCATCTTCTCGAAAAAATATTATTTTAATATATACACAACGCGCGCGTGTGTGTGTGTATGTGTGTATGTATCATATTACAATTTTTATTGTATAAAAGTTTGAATTAATATTTTATTGATATAAGTTTAAATATTATAAAATCAAGTTTTCTTCATTTATAATTTAAATACTTTTAATTAAATTATCACTTATATTGATATACATTATACATATAAATATATAAATATATATATATATATATATATATATATACACATAATTAAAAGTATAAAAATTAAATAAAGAAAACTTGATTTTATAATATTTACTCTTATGTCAATAAAATATCAATTTAAACTTTTATGCAATAAAAATTGTAATTATTTTTATTATTATTACTAAATAGCCAAATTTTACAAAATGCCAAAATTTCGCATTGTATATATTTATTATACTAAAATATTATAATATTATGAAATACATATATTTCTATAATATGCTTTTTAAATAATAGATATAATATTTTATATCAACGCTTATACTCATTCACTTAACAACAAACTCATAATGCAAATGGCATAAATAATAAATAACGTGAATATTGAGAACAACAATTAATATAATATTAATAAATAAAATAAAATTTCATTTAATTAATAAACATGATAAAATATATATATATATATATATATATATATATATATACATATATATATATATGATATGCTCAACGATTTTCAATAATTGTTTACAGAGACACGTTTCTGAATTTGGCGAACTTGAACAAGCTGTATTTGAATCACAATAACATTAGCACCGTTCACGATAAAGCGTTCAAGAGCCTGCCCTCGCTGCAGGAGCTCGACCTGGGCAGCAACCAGATCACTGTCATCACGCGCGACAGTTTCCACGGTTTGCGCAAACTGCAACGTCTCGATCTACGCAACAATAAGATTGCCATGCTCGGCGATCGTCTCTTTGCCGAGATGCAGGAATTAACCGAACTCGAGCTCGATCAAAATCAGATCAAATACATATCCAACAGAGCATTCGACAACATGTACAATCTCCGGAAGTTGCACCTTAGCGAGAATCATCTGGAGATGCTGGAACCAGATTTCTTAGCTGGTGCGCCTGGTGTTCACTTTTTGGATCTGAGGGATAACTTGCTGAAGTTGATGACCTTTGACAACATTAAACCAATCGTGACCAATCTCTATGACCTCAACAGCTACTTTTACCTGGATGGTAAGTACATCGATTGTCATTTTTAATCAAAAACCATAATACAGCATCCATTTGAGATTCTTGGAATAAATTACCTAGAAAAATTAGCAAATTTATTATAAAGAAATAAAGAACAATTTCAAATAAAAATTAGATCAAATATCTCTCAAGTAGATTCAAATTCAAGATAATAGGTAATAGAAGATTATAATGCATTAAAGACAGTTATTCGAAGTTTGCGAACGTTAAATTATGCAGTGAGTTGAAGCGGTATTATTCGTGATCAAAGTAACAAGATTGACTGATCAAAGCGCATCTCATCTTATCTGCATATAGGAAACAATCTGACCTGCAACTGCAAACTTGCGTGGATCTGGGGCCTGCGGAACGAGACGAAGAATACGAAACTGAGGGATGCCCTAGAGGAGCTGACTTGCTTCCTTGAGAGCAATAATGCAACGCAGAAGATCAACAGCGAAGACCTGGGGAGAAATCAGCCGCGCTACATTCCCAGTAAGTTCTCGCTTCACGCGCGAGCGCGCGCGCGAATGCGGAATGCCTTTCGGCGAAATTTAGCTCAGCTTTGTGTCCAAAAGGCAAAATGCAAAATTATCCCATAAAAAAAAAAGTAAGAATGTTTTATCTACTATGCAGAATTTAATTTTATACATATTATACATGTCGACAAAAATTTAAAACAAAGTAATTGCTTTTTTCATATACATATACATATACAAATATGTATAAATTGTTTTATATATTTCTCAATGTTGGTAAAATGTGTTATATCTAAGTTGATGGATTTTTATTTTATCTATTTTATTTTTATCACTCATAAAAATATTTTATTTAATTAATTTTAATAATTATATATATATATATATAAATTATAAAGCAAAAATAGAATGCTAGAAACAGAGAGAGAAAAAGAGAGAGAGAAAGAGAGAGAGAGAGAGAGAGAGAGAAGGAGGAGTACCTCTCGTATCGCATTTTTTATAGTTTTAAACAGGACTGAATTGTATTATGTTACATGCAGACAAATATGTTAACAATAATTCGAGAGCCGATAATAACGAGGACGACGATGAGGCTGAGAATGATGATTATACAGAATATGACGAGGACGATGAAAAAGAAAAAGAGAATGAGAATTCGCATTTTCGCAGTAAGGTAAGATATACACACATTACCTTGTTGATTGCATGTGAATTACAGACTTTTTGACATTCCTCTTTCAATAATATTACAATAATTACCTCATCAAATTAATTTCTTACAAATTTATTAATATCTTAATTGCTAATCTTAATTACATAATTAAAGTGCAATCTAAACTTTTATGCTGTTAGAAAAAATTAAAATTAACACTATAATACTTCTGGCATGATACCAAGCTGAGCTTAACGTTAGATTTTTAATTTTATCTTCTTTATATTACATTTAGGATTTTTACAAGAAGTAATTGAGATAAAGTAAGAAAGATCAATATACATATTTAAAAATTTGAATTATGTATCTCTTTTTAATTTAAAAAAATATGTAATTGTGAAGAACAATATATAATACACAATAAGATACAAATTTTATATCTTTGTATTATTTTTTGAATTTTTGTATCATATACAATTGTATTAAAAAGAGGTATCTTAATTCTTAATTTGAGACAGTACAAAATTCATATATGATCGCAATGAAAAATTTTATACACATGTTTATCTCAAAAATAATACGGCAAAAGGAATTTTTTTTGCACGTTGCTAATTTAATTAATCTTTATGTCGCACGTATATGTTATGGGTCTATCTTCTGTTTCATCAAAAACATTAAAGCCTTTTTAACCGATACGCGTGATACTACGTAGACCATTTTGATTTTGATTTCCAGAGTACTGATAGCACTGATAGCAATAAGTGCTGTAAAAAGCACCTATTCGAATTGAAGCCGGAAGAGCTGCCATGCCCGCAGCTTTCGCGTGAGGATTTGATGGCCTCCGAGCAGCCATCCAGCCGTCATGAAAACGCCCGTGCGTCCGGGTCCAGCTGGTTCAGCTCCGGTTCGATCTCGGTCCAGGCCGGTCAGTCCGTCCTCGTTGCCTCATTGCTATTGCTATCTATACTTTTTTTCACGTAGAAGCGGCTAAGCGTTCGAAAATGAAGCGATATAAGCGCCATTCGGTGTCCCGATACGCTCGAGCGAGCGAAAATGGAAAATCGTACACGTACATAGAAACGAAAACGGGACGTGGAAGAAAGTGTATATGTTTATTGCGTGTGTATGTGTGTGTGCGCACTTACGTAGGAAACTAACTGGACAACCAAGAGACGTACCTTCGAAACTTTCCGAAGCGCTTTTACAGTTACCATTTATTGTATGAGGGCTCTCTTTAAAAGGTATTCGAACTTTAAAAATGTTGCACGAACGTGATCGCGTGATCAATAATGCATAGCGACGAACGAGATCGCCAAGTCACAATTGTCCAGTATCGAAACGCGGCTGCATTTTTAAAGTTTTACAATTTTTTTTTTTTTTGACCTCTCGGCTATATTTGACGTGATAATATAAAAACGTTTGCGCCGTTATTTGATAGACGCACTGTCATGCAGAGTTTATAACGGGCCACATAACGAGACGCAACATTTTACGTTCGCGATAATTTACGTGTCTATCGTATCTTCAACGCGAGCCAAAATGTGGTAGTATAAAAATGACAAAGAATTGCACATAGCATTTTACATAATATTGATCAAATTCGGGCTCAAACGCGCTCCTTTACATAAGTACTGTACGCCATTCCCGTATCTGTACAGTATACAATATGCGTAGTTTTACTGTATGTATTATAAGTATACCAAAAAAAAAAAAAAAATACCGCGCACACTGCCGTCTCTCGTTAGCTATTTCGCTTGTGTAATTACTGCCATTTAGACCATAGTCCACTATTATATCCAGCTAATTTTGATCGAGACGATGGGTCCAGCTATAACGGCTCCAAATTTCGATGTAATTATAAAATGTCAGAAATTGCCAGAGATATATTGCCATATACAATAATTTAGAATAAATTTTACAATTTTTGATAGAGAAATTAGACAGCAGAATTTTTTTAATTGTTTATTTATAACTAGTATAATTATCGGCATTTTTCCACTAGTTCTATTCGTATTAGCTTTAAGGATTAATTTAAACGTTTTGATATAAATGTACTTTTTTAATTATTTTTCTTTGTGCCTTTTATAGCCTTTTATAGGATATCGTGATCGTGAAATATTAAATATTGCCCGCTCGATTCTATGGCTTTAAATTTTTATATAAATTTACATGATATTTGTTTTAACATTCCTTTTCGATTTTTGTAATCTTTTATACAAAATATTATAAAACATTACGGATAACCCATTCTCATTTTTATCTAAAAACATGAATATGAATATAATTGACTCTTCATATTCTTACTACCCCTATTCTTTTAATTTCTCCATTTATTATAACATTTATGAACTCCGTATTCTTAACCTACCCCCCCAGCCTGCACTATTATATATATATATATATATATATATGCTGCTAATTCATAGTTATCACGAATAACTACGTGATCACTTGACCAAAAGAGTGAAGAAGCGCGAGTAAAAGACGGAGACTGCCATAGGCAGGAGGATATTTGTGGGCGTTTCTTAGTAAATAAAAATTTCTTATTTATAAACGCATGCATGCGTATATATATGCGCAAATGCATATTATGCGAGCTTGTGGCGCATCGAATGTCAACGCGCAGGCGCGAAGAGAAAAAGATACGACAATTATTTTCTCGTTTTATTTATCTTGGCCTTCTCTTCAATTAAAGCTTTGCCGGAACATGGAAGTCACTCGGTCCATGTCTATTTTCATCTATTACGAATAAATAAATGTTTACCCATTTTTGTCTATATGGAAGACGTCATATACCGTACGTCGTATACGTATAGTCACAATCTCGTTTGCCAATAGCGCAACAGGCGCAGCGATATTTATATTCTGCGCATGTGCTATTGAAACAGGATCATAGTCTGAAGAAAAGTGTTAAAAATGTGGAGATTATTCCCTATCCTAATATGTTAAGAGTACGGAGATTTGACTTACTACAATATATTACTACAATATATTAAATTTTGACCCGTTATACATATTTTTAACATTAGGTCGATATCTATGCTCATCTATGATGAATGGATGGCTTTGGATCCTTGTAGAACTTGATATCTAAAATATCAAGAATATCAAGAATCTATCAAAGATATTGATGTACAATTTAATAAAGAAATTAATGGAGGATATAGAACTATGGACTAAATAGAACACATCAAGAATTGATATGGTTAACACATTTTTGAAGAAGAAATTGAGATGGACACCATGAGATGATTATAAAATATTAGTAGTTTATACTAATTTCGATACGTATAAGAGAAATTATAAAAAAACAATTGAATTAGTTGATTATAAAAGTCCATCATGAATCATGTTAGTGAACTTTTTGGAAAACCACAACAAAATTAATTTTTTTGTTTTTTTTAATTTAGAAATATAAATAAATGCTTATTAATTAGAAAATGCCTCTAAGAAAGCTTGATAACAATCATGCTCTTTTCTTAATTGTTGTTTGCAAAAAGAGATCGATATTTCTGTTATTAGCAATTTGTATCTTTTTTTGTATATGTGTAACGCATTGTGGGTCATGAAACTATGTCATGTTAGCTCCATTTTGTAAAAGTGATATCTTATGTCCGTTTTATAATGGCTAATTCAATTGCATACGCATTATTTAATTTGTTCTATTTAATCATCCTCGTGTGTATAATTGATATTATATTTAATACAAGAAATATATACTTCTTATTCTGAAATATATTTCTTGGTATATGTGAAATGAGACTGAGAACAAGACATTTTTCGAGCACTAAGCGTTTTTATCATTCTTCTTACAAGATTATAATCGTGATGTTTTTGCGCGACGTTTAGCGAGCAATTTCACAACGATTACGTCTATGGCGATCTGTTTGTTTGAGGTGCACTTTCTTGCGCTTTTTGCGTAAAAGTTTTTAAAACTAAATGGGCTTATATTTTGATCTGCGGGTGGAGGAGAAAAGGAATAAGGCTAAAAACGGAAAGCGCAACTGGAGCGAACAGACGTAATTTGCAACAATCAATTTAGTAAGAGACGCACGATATGGATAACGTGAAACATAGCCTACCCCTACGGAACAATGAAATAAAGAAAAAAATTATTAATAATGTTGAGGTGTTGTTTGTCATAGTATATACGTTGTCATAGTATCGTGATAATGTTTATATAATATATGAAACGTCGAGTCGCAAAACGACATCGTAGGGAACGCAAGAAGATCGAGATGTCTTTTTAAATAATTTTTAATAATCATGAAGTTAACATGTCTTTAGACAGATCTCGTTATCATGGCGAGAATATAATTTGCAAGTGTTTTTAATTCTGAATATGTTTTTTTATTTAAGATTTACAATCTTTACGAAAAGTCTAATTATGATTAAATTTTTCTTTTTTGAGAACAACAATTTTATATACATATACTTTTTACTTTAATTAATAATAATACATTTAGCTTGTTCTTACATTTGATATCCTTTACTTTTTAAATTCCCTTAAAATAAATCGTAGAGTTTAAATCGAGAGGGTAATCACTCTTGAATTCCGGTGTACAACCTGTCGGAATTTCGATGAAGTCCGATGAATTCCGGTAAAGTCCGGTGAAGTCCGTTAAAATCCGACGCAATCCGCTGAAGTCCATTAAAGTCCGATAAAAATGTAGTCCAATTTTTAAAAAAAAGGTTATCACTTTTCTAATTCCTAAAAAAGATCATCAGTTTGATTGAATTTTTTAAAAGCCCTTGCCCGGACATTAACATTCGCCAGGGAGTTTGTTGAAAAATTTCGCCGGTGTTTCCAGACGAAAAGTAGTAATCATATCCATAAAAGTCTAGTGAAGTCCGTTAAAGTCCGATGAATTCCGGTGTAGTCCGTTGAATTCCAATGTAGTTCAATGAAGTCCGTGAAGTCCGGTGAAGTCTTGAAATCAGAAGTCCAAGTGTACATATAATATTTTCTGAGTGATTATTTCATCGGTTTAAATTTAAATCTTACCATTTTTAATAATAAAAAGTGTTAAGTGTCCTCCTTTTACGTTAAAATATTTTTAAGTTATATTTATAGATCGCGTTGCAGCCAAGAATTTTGTAAATAAATTATGGAAATATTAGTAATGATAAATTGAATTTATAAGACAAGATAAATATTTAAAGGCAATAAAAAATATAAAATTATCTTTTCTGAATAAATTATTGGACCGTAATTTGTTTTATTATCTCTCTTTACTATACGAATAATATATGTAAAAATATAAAACAATATTTTTTAAGAAAAACTTTGCTATTTCATATTATTTTTTATTTATATAGCTTTTTTTATTATTTAATGCAGTTTGCCGTATTTATTTATAACCCATTATATCCTTTTCATACATATTATTACTTGATTTATTAAATGATATATATATATTAGTAAATTGTGTTATAAACGTTTAAAAAATTAATTACGATAAAAATACATGCTCTTTTCTAATTTTTTAATATTTTTTGCAAATAAATCATCAATTCTTGCCGTTCGCTCGATGCCATAGTGCGGCATGACACCTGTTGTCGATTGAAAGAAATGCGCGTATAAATTAAAGTGTTCTGGGGTACTGCGTGCACAACACGTTACTGAGTCGTTTATAAGATAAAATTAAATCATGATAAATAAATATATGATGTTTAGAACCATAAGTGAAACAAGATATTATTAATCAATTTTTTTTTTCGTTACTACTGTGACACACATAGTCTGACGAAACAATTCAGGAATTCTATTAGGATTATTAATACAATTATCACACTAAAGATAATTCCGTTAAAGACAAATAAGTGATAAGCAAGAGTTATTGCAAAAAAAATTTAAGAAAGAAGATCCGAATCATGTAAGACATTTAACTTATAGATACCAAAGATAAGAAAAATTTGGTGTTAGTTGTTAGGAATCTCTCTCGTACACAATTTATGATCTGCCTGATCGCACTAAGTAAAGCAAATAAACTAGATAATTATTAAAGCTGATAAGTGAATGAACGAGTACACTCTCAATCCCGAGTCGCTATAAGTCAAAAAGTGAAAAAAACGGGATTCCTTGAATTCTCCATAGGGTTTCCTTCTTCCTCCTTCTCCTTTTCTCACACTCTCCTATTCATTCTTTCATACTAATAAAGCTACGAGTATTTAACAGGAGAAAAGAGATTATCGTGAAATTAAAAACTAATTGGCTAATGAATTACAAATTCAATTAGGCGATTAATAATTAAGGTAGATAATCGATCAATTTGCTAATTCAGTTTTTTCTCTCTGTAAGCCTCCCGCTTTGTCTCTTTCGATTTTCATATGACTTTCAATACGCACAGACACAATTTATTCGATTTTATTTATTAAATAAACGCTACAATCTATATTCGTATATATATATACATATATATGCGTTTCAATACTTGTCGAATACATTGTATAATGTACAAGAAGATATTTCTTGGGATAATGCAATGATTTTTTTTATATATGTATGTATGTACAATTAATTTAAGCTCTTGAGTAAACGCAACTATAATAAATTAGGTTTAGTCTATTTATGAATTTGCCGTCAAGTTATAATATTGTATTATATGTTTTTTTGTAAGATTTAACAATAATCGGAAATAAATCGTCAAGAAATAAAGAAGTTATGTGTCTTTCTTTTTTAATAACTTATTCCCATCAAAATGTATCCTATTAATTTCTTTTGTAAACTTGACTTCTCTTGCGCTATTCTTCTATTATACATTAGTCACGTAATCGTATAATTATGCATAGATTAAACATTTTTTTAACGATTTTAATTTTTTTATAGTATACGTAACGCGAATTATAGATTTTCAATACCGAACAAGGTCTTAGATAGGAAAAATAAGAAAAGGTATATATTTTCTTATATATAAAATGCTCATACGAACGATAATAAATTAAATTTAATTGCAGTTTATGATTAATGATTTTATCTTAGATTGATTATAATTATATGTTTGAAATTATATGTTAATTCTTTTCTAAACAATTCTGTTTACCAAAGTTTATTAAAAGTTTCAGTATAACATTCATTTATACACTTTGCAATTTTAATTATTTATCACTTTTTGTTTAATTACTTCTATTTACAAAGAAAAAAAATGTTACAAATTGTCTTATTTAATATATTTATATATGAACGGAAACAGTATATCTTTGTAAAAACATTTTGTAACAATATTTTTTTTCTTACATAAATTTTTCCCATATAATATAGGAATACTTTTTTTTCAGCACTTAACAAATTGTAAAAATCTATGCTTGTGCCGTAAAGTAATCGGTTTTTCACAATTATTTGCTATTTCTATGGACTGTGCAAACAGGAATTAATTATTAAGTAAGAATTAATTGTACAAGAATTAGATTACTACTTAATACTAATGTTTGCATGCAAGCTTAAATAATTTCGTGACATGCGCATTTTGCACATTACGTATTATATCAACATGTTAAATATTGCCCATGTTTATGTGATCGTTAGGACGAGTGTTATCGGTTCGATTCTTTCCGAATTCTTGCGGAAATTCATCTTCCAATTCCCAAACAGCCCCATCGTCGAATCTCTGCTGCTCGGTGACCCAACCGCATATCATCGTACGTAGAAGTAAACCTGTAAAGAGTATTTCAATAGTAGAGTCAAGTAATCAAGACAAGATAAATAAACAAAATCAATGAAGCAAAAAATAATTGGCTAGTCCATAGACAAACAATTGTAAATTGTAAAATTCAATTTAAAAATAATACGAGTTTGAAGAGCAGATGAAACACCTTTAACTAACATTAGTTTAGACTAGCAAACAAATTTCAAAACGCCAACTGATGTTTTGATATGGACAAAAAATCAAATTGACGATTATTGGTGCATAAAGGAAGGAGAGATAATTGTATTATTGTACATATACATCCGCGCTTTAAGCTCTTGATCTTTTGATCTTGAATTAGATTTAATAATTTATATATAATTTGATTAAAATAAAAACTATTACGTTATTGAATTTCTATCAAAGAGAGGTACAGTAGGAAAAAAAGGAAAGGGGGAGATGGAGAAAGAAAGCAAGAGAATAGAGGTGATGGAGAACAGAAAAACAAGGAAATAAAAGGAAAGGAGAAAGAGAGAGAGAGAGAAAATCTAATAAAAAAAGTGAAAGGATGTGTTAAAGAGAAAGAAAGGGTAAAGAGAAAAGAAAAAACACAAAGAAAAAGAGAACAAAGGAAAGAAGAAGAGAGAAGAAATGTATTTGGAAAACGAGAAAGTTTCTAGCATCTCACTAACTAATATTAGTTTGTAGAATCAAAAAATTGTATACTTTTTCTTATATTATACATCTTAAAATAATTAATTTTTTGCTTTAATAGATTTATGAAAAATGTCAAAAATTTTTCTTTCGATTTATTCATTAATAAATAGTTGCAGATATTGATAACTTTAAATGTTGAACTACCCTAAAATTCATTTGTGCGAGAAGTATGTAGGTAGATTCCATTATGCATTTATGTACCAATAAAAAAATAAGTAAAACAACCGAGTTTTTAGCATATTACTTTTATATCATTAAATTTATACGTGGAAAACTAATTTATTTTAACATACAAGAAGAAAATTTATATGATTTTTGTCATCGATAATTGTTGTTATTAATCGATAAATCAATTTGGTTACAATAAAAAATTATATTCAGAATTGATAAAAATTGATTCAGAATAAAAATTATTTTTTTCCATATCTCCAGTTTGTCACAATATGGCGACGTGCAGATTGATTAGAAGTACCTGTTATTAATCCAGAAACAATGGAGATCCCAAGGGTGACCGCCAGCGCCAACAATTGATATCCCGCTTGTTGATACGCTGTTCTATTGAATCCCGTTGATATTCCATAATCGTCGCGCATCTCACTAATTTTCGTCTCTGAGCTTGGGGCCCGCGCAGGAAAGATCTGTTAACAAATACGTTAGAGATAATTATAAAGAAAATTATAAATAAGTAATCATTTTAAGTTAATAAAAATCATAACATATAATTTGACACAAAATTAAAAATCTTAAAAAAAACAGTTGCAATATATTTCAAGAATGTTCCAGTTTTTAATTAGTTTATTTGTAAATGTGTCTATTCATATTTTGATGAAATAAAAAATAGATCTGAAGTAAAATGCATTTTATCATAAGGAATAATACATTTAATAGTAGGGAAGTTAAAATACATTTTATCATATACGTACAATTTTCTGTATCATTGATATGTTTCAAGTTACGTTCCAAGTAATTAAGTAATACACCCTATTGAGTCTTAAATGACTATCATCTCTCTTCATTATACGGATGGAATTCTGTGCGGTAATTACCCCAAAAATAATTTAAAAGTGCGATGGTCAAATTATCGTTCCGCACATCAACGTAAATGAGAGTTAATTACGCGAAAAGAATGAAATAATTAATTCAAGATAACGGAATTACGTACTTCGTACAGGGAGTAATCGTAAGTGGCTTCCGTGGCTAAGCTTGCCATGAGTGCTCCAAAAAATGCAGCTAGCACGCCCGGCATCCCGTGTAAATTATGCACCCCGCAAGTGTCATGGATATGAAGATGTTTCTGTATAAATGGCTGTAAAAAGAAGTAAAGGAATTAATATTAGAAAGATTCATTAGAAACAGACTTTGCACAATCCTACAATTTGCTCTCAGTTGAGAATTTTTCTGTTAGCAGAAAAATTCTCGACTGAGATGATATTTAACTTCGTCGTCAAACTAAATGAATCTTGATCGACGAACTTGACTTTTTAATTGCATTTTTTATTTCAAAAATAAAAAATAGACTAAGTGATTTATATAAATAATCAATCTGTATTTATATTTAATTATGTAAGAATTTTTATGTAAAAATCATGCATAATAAGATCGATATTAACATCCCATATACATATTTTTTTTTTACTTTCAAAGAACTAAAATTAACATAAATACATCGATCTAATAAGATGTCTGATTAGAATAATCTAATGTGTGCTTTGGTGATTTAATAATCATATTTCTTCTTTTTGGCATAGTGAATAAAAGCTTATACATATACATATATATATATATATATATATATATATATATATATATATATAAAACGTTCATGTCAATAATTTTATTTCATTTATAATTAAAGAAGTATTAAGATATGAATATATAAAAAGCGAATATTTTATTTTAATTTTTATAAAATAATATTTTAGTTTGTATAAAATACGAACTATCTCGTAAACTATTGATTTTCGGAAAAAAAGATAAAAAACATTTTTATGGACGAGTAACTAATTAACTATCGCGATTGTACGATTATCTTTACTGTTACCGTAAGATATTTGTATCCCAAAACACTAATCACACCGGATATTGCGCCGATGACCAGAGCACCCACCGGTTCACACATCATACCTGCATACATTGAGAAAGTTTTAATTAGAAGAAGACCTACTTAAATTAAATTTTGAGTAAGAGAACAACAATATGATTTAATAACATCAATAAAAAATTATCTATACGTTTTAGGAAAACTTGTTTTATAGTTACGTTGCGGCACAACATATTTAATAAAGCAATATTGCTGTAAAAACATCATACAAAGAAAATATAATGTAAGACATAAATAATATAGTATAGAAATACTTAAAACAAAAGAAAAATTTGTGCCTTCCTATTTCCACATGGCTTAAGTAAAATCAAAATTAATAAGCAATATGTTAATTATAATAATTATAATGTCACATTATAATCTAATATGTATCTAATATTGCATTATGTAGAAGACATTTAAATACACATATACATAATTGCAGAATACATTAATTGCATGTAGCAATACATTATACATTATTACATGTAGCAATATATTGAAAAATGTTTTATCAGCTCAATAAAAAATAGATTGAAATTAACACAAAAAATATAAATGTACAATTAAATCAATATACAATTATTTGTTTATTTTGCGTTATAAGACTTTAATATTGTATGTTATATAAAAACCTTACATGAGCAATATATGTATAAAATATTTATAAATCTGGTATTTACATATTAAAAAGTTAATAATCGATTAGTATACCTGCGGCTGTGCCAATAGCAACACCTCCAGCCAGGGTCGAGTTTTGCACGTGTACCATGTTGAATTTGTTGTCTTTGGAAACCAATGCGGACACGGCGAACGTGATCACGCAGCTCGCGGATATTGATAACAGAGTGTTGATTATAGCACGCTGTTGATCATCTCCTGTCAACGCAGCGCTATTGAATGACGGCCAAAATAGCCATAAGAACACCGTACCTAAAGGCATTTAATCTTGTATATTATCAACCCCATTTTAGCAGTTGAAACACTTAAAAAATTCGATAAAATTTTATATAAAAAAAACAAACAAATTTTATTTAATGAAACATCCAATCTCCATTATAGGTACGCAAATAACTTATCCGACACATACCGATCATAGCAAAAACGTCTGACTGATAGGACGATCCCTCCAGCTCATTCTCCTTCGATTTCTCCTTCGTTCCCAGTACGAAACTAATTGCCAATCCGAAATATGCGCCAAACACATGAACGAACATACTATCACCAGCATCAACGGCCTTAGAAATGTGAATAAAATTTATATATAAATTCCAGCAAACACAGATTATAACTACATTATTGCAGCAACATTGTAATATTTCTGCAATATAGCTGGAATGTTACAACGTTGCTGCAACATTGCAGTTATAATCTATGTTTGCTGCCTGCTGGGATACAGAGTATACGAATATAGGAAACATATAGTATAAGAAAATACATCTTATAGAAAAATATATCCTGTCGTACATTTGTAAAATAAAGTAGTTATATTGTTTAGTTCAAAATTTTTAAATAAAATATCGATGTTATAAAATAAAGAATAAATATTTATTAATCAACAATATTTACAAAGTAGTAGAAAATAATAGTAAATATACGTGTACATTTATATATATGTGTATAAATGTATGTGATGAAAATCTATTGTCATATTCTAATTTTAATTGTACATTATAATACAAACATATAGAGAGAATATATTTTATATTAAATATAATTTTATATTTCTTTTGTTTTCTTTTATTGCAATTTACGATCAAAATCTAACTGAAATCAAGCAAAATTAGAAATGAACTCACCATGAACAGATGCTCTCCTACGTACTTATTAACAGTAAACATAATCAACTCCACTATTCCCATGAACACCAGTTGCATATAGGTCACTTTGCCTAAAACTGCTCCCATGGAGATAAGCGGCGTAGCAACAGCGACATCGGCACTAAGCAAACTGAAAAGTTCCGTAACGATACATAATGAAGAAATAAATATATCTTCACTTAAATTGTTTTATAAAGAAGCAATTTTTTATTTTATTTTAATGTAAAAATAAAACGTTCACGTTTCCATACATTTACAAAATAAGACTATTCTAAAATACTATCTAAATTACTTTATCTCTATACTGCAATATCAATCAAAATAAACACTGACCTTCCTAATGAGATGTAAGCTCTCTGTCCTAATTTCACATTCATTGCGCCATCGCAGAGTAAAGCAACCTGGACGAGAATTGCGCCTATGAGGAAGGTCAAACCAACAGCGCTCTGACTGTATCTCTTGAGGAACGTCATCAGGAAACCAAAACCGATCCATATCATCACATGTACATCTTGATACACTGTACCATTTCAGTCAGATCCAAGAACAAAAAATGAGCGTTTTTGTAAGCGGCATATAGTTGATGAACAGATAACGTTTTTTTTTCTTTATTTAATTCTTTAATTGTGTGTAATTAATTAATTACATATAATCAGGAATCATAGTTTATAATAGAATAGCAATGAAAAAATATAGCTTACAATTTTTATAGATTTAAGTATTCACCAATTTCCGTGTTTACGCAAAATCTAATACCGAATAACTTTCAATCAGCAGATAATGTTTTTTAAATGTTTTTTAAACATTTATTTAACATTATAATATTAAATAAATATTTAAAAAATATTTAAAAAACACTGATGCTAGTTGGGACTTGTGTAAAAATTGTGTATAATTTAATAAATTTTGCTTGATTATGCGAAAAAAAAATACCAAATTAAGTCTGCAACATACTCAGTCAGAAATGACCGTTAATTCGACGTCGAATTGACATGTCGAAATCACCGTATTTAACATCGAATTGGCGATCATTTCTGGCTGGGTAGATATATATCCGTAAAGAGATACAAATTGCTATTTATAATTATACATATATTCGTACATTTTACTATTCATACATTTTGCTTCATACATTTCTATGTTACCCACTATCGCTTTGTACCTTTTCATATATTGCATTAGAATTTACATTTATCATTAGTTTAAATTTTGAACACAAATTTGCTGATCTCCTTTTCTATCTTGTATTTATTAATTTCATCATTTTTAGTACATATTTTTTCCAATAAAAGATATCTATCACTTTCTCATAATTTTACAGAGTAATAAAAATATCGAAAATTTATAAAAAAAAGATTAAGGTCACTGATAACCCGATAAACAGAAAATTAACAACAAGAATTTTAAGCTTAATTTTTCGAACATTATACATGCTTCAGATTTCAATGATATTATGAACATTTTTCATTGTTTTTTTCATTATATACGAAGAAGATATGATGCAGATATCAAAAAGATGAGTTGACAGTAGGCGAGAAGAAAAAAGCGAGAAGACAAATAGTAAGAAAGAGAACAGAATAACAGGAGAAGGAAAATGATAGACAATGACGGCACCAATGTAGAACTTACATATATGTGTGACAGGTAGAGAGTTCGATTGTCCATTCAAATAAGGATAAACGCTATTCAGCCGGTTGCTGGCATCCACCTCCGGGGCGTAATCATACAGAGCAAGAAAACCACACAACAGAAAACCCTCGATAAGAAGAAGTGTGATCGCGTGCTCTAGTGGACTGCACTTCCTTATTCGTATCAACATTGTGCAGGGATCGACTATATGCCGACGAAGCCACCGCAATGTACGTGTCATGAGGCAAATGTGCTCGGACGTGACTTCTTCGAAATTATTTTCGTATTTCGTGAAGATTTCTTTTCAGTGCATATATGTATTTAAATTAAATTGGTCGCACAAGAGAGTATTTATTTTAATTTCCGATTAACGTAATCTTAGAATATTAACGCAGTTATTAAAATTTCTTTAATTTAAAAGGACAAAAAGATTTTTCTTTTTTATTGCTCGTAAATATAAGCGTTAGGATAAATTTTGTATTAATTTCACAATTATTATACAGTTATTTCTAAAGGAAAGAAGTATTATGTATAAATTAAAATTGTCATTATTGGATTTAATTCTTCTTTTAGAAACAATTTTTTTTTAATAATCAAATTTTTCAAGAAATATTTTAGATATTTTCAATTTAATATTTATTTAAAAAAATATTTTAGATATTTTAATACAAAATTTCATTTGCCTTCTTTTATTTTAGAACAATATTATTTAATCTTATTTAATAATAATTATGATTTATTGATTTATTGATATTAATATATTAATTGAAAAAAATTACTTGATTGAAGATATCTATCCGTTGAACTTAATGATAAACTTTGCAAGTAAATGTTAATCGGGAATAACGTTGACATGACAATTCGTTGACAGATGCCGAAGTTGGACTGTTTCCGACGACTGAATGTACAAATAATGTTTCTCCAAATCTTTTAAACACATGGTAGAGGATCGAGATTTAAAATAGGAAAGGTCAAGATGGAACTCGTAACTCTTATTCATATGCTAACGTGTATATTTCTTCTTTTGTGCAACGCACAATATGAATATATGTATGTACATATATTAGATAATCTATTTTCACTTTTCTACGCAAACTTATTGATTTTCGAAAATACTATTCACAGTAACTAATCTAAATAGTCATTTGAAAAACGTTCCAAATTAAATTCATTCTGTTTTGAATGGAGCATCCTGTAGTTATTAAATATAATTTTTCAAGTAGAGACGTTTTCTCATGATTTTAAGGATATTTTTATTAATTTTAAACTTGGACATTTTTTTTGCATAAATCATTCGTAATCTTTATCTTATTTTACTTACAAAAGTATTAACCCAAGATCCCATTGAAAAGTGAGCAATTTACAAAATAGTTTATTCTTAATAAATTTTTATATAAATAATGTAAAATACATTTTGTAAAACACGTTGTTCAGATTTTATTTTAATATTTTTATATGTAAAGTGATAAAAGACAATTTTTTGTTATATTTTCTGCATATAATAAAGAAAAAACAATATTTTTTAAATAATGCTTCTTAAACGAATCTTTTATAACTTTCTTCTGATATTGAACAAGAATTATTGAATATGTTTATCTGTTTATCTTTCTTTTTCTCTTCATATTCCCCTTCTTTCATCAAAAACAAATACCTAATTGCTAAAGAAAACTTGATTTACTTACTCGGATAAATTCGTAATGGATCATCTTGTGGTTTTTGTATTTGTCCAGATTTGACGATACCTGCAAGATAATTAATATTTATTTTAAGCACAATAATGAAGATATAATAGTAAATAATAATGTAGTACAAACAAATTATAAAATTATTAATTCTTATAAAAATTTAAGAAAATTGATTTATACTAACAGCAAAGTTAAAATTTCTGAAGCTTTCAAATTCCTAAAACTTTTTAAATTTTCATGTTTCTTTAAAATCGTATTCTTAAAAATGTTAACATTTAATTAAAATGAAACATTAATAAAATTCTTTTATTTCCTTTCGTGAAAGTTATCCGGAAAAATGTTTGAATAGAAAATTTACAATTTTATATAAAACAATTTTACAAAATTGTAAAAATGATTGAATTTGCTATTTGATTTTAAATATTAATTTTTTTATTTGGTAATATTCTACATATATTTATGGATAAAAACTGAATCGATCACAATCGTATTATGTCACTAATAATTTTTAATGTTATTTTATATATGTTATGCAAATCGTGTTATTATATAACTGAAGTACGCATGTGCGTATTTATATACACATGTGTACGTATTATATACTGACCAGTATGATTTTTCAGCAAATTAGCATTTGCCTCTGGACCGTATGTCATCAATGACCCTATTAGCGCGATTAGGATAATCTCGAGGAGAAACAGCATCAGCATTTGCTGCTTTTCAGTGACCGCTGTATACATTATCTGCAAAAAAGGGAAAGATATATTTGGTCACTTTTGTACGATTAAATTATTACTTCGCAAAGATTTTCTTTTGTTGTATTCTGTACTGGCTATGATAAAATAAGTGTTTATTTATTATAGCTAAATTTAGAAAAAGAGAAATTTCAAAATGAAAAATATTCTTTTTCTCTTTTTTGTATTATTATTATTATTATTATTCTTGTTGTTATAGTATATATGTATATATATTATTGTTATGATTTTATTAATTTTTATTAAGGAACTTAAGTTTAAGTTAAAGAAATAACAATAAATTTATTTATAATACTTTTTAATTATTTATATTTAATAATGTATAAAATTTTAATTTAACCTAGCCCATGTTTTTAATTAAATTAAATTAATTAGATCCTGTTGATAATTTACGATACGTCTCTCTCTATTTTTTTTTATAGAGGAACAATTTTGTGCTTTTCTTATTTATTCGACAACTGTGTAAGGGAAGAATGTAGTTAAATTCTTGTGGAATAAAATATGAACATTTCTGAATGATATAAAGAATAAATATATACAATAAAAGATATGTATTGCTAATAAGTATTTACCTTATATATATATATAAGGTACATATTAATCATTATTTTTTTAAATATCTAGATTAAAGCATATTTTTAAAATACAGAAAGATATATATATAGCCTATATATTTAAAAGAATAATGATTAATATGGATGTATATATATGTATATATGTATATGTATATAACTCATGTAATAATTCATCTTAAAAATCTAAAATAATATTTTGTAGAACATATACACGCAGGCAGGCGCAAATATTTACAAATATATAAAGTAATAAATTCTGTGGGCAAATATTGGATAAATATCTATAAGCAGTAACTTGCATATCAATCAGTACGATACCTTTCCCATCGTATTTCGATAATTCAGGTTAATCAATCAGTCGCGCTTCTCTCACTGACGATTTTTTGCCACGCACTGAAAAAATATATTTTATCGCTTTTTACAATATAATTTATGGGCTCGTCGAATTCCACGAAAGACACAAAAAGTAATATAACCTAAATTTATTTTTATTCGACACGTTAATAAATATTTAACTGTGACAATATATGTAAAAAATAAAGAGAGTAAATGCATTTTTTTTCTACCAAAAAGAATCAAATGTATGAAGGGTAAGTAATTAATCTATCTTTTTAAATATTCCATATATTTTAGCACATATTTCCTTTATATTATGTTGCACACTTTATATAAATTGGAATTTTATCCTGTATATTGCGTCTCTCTTATGTACCCAATAAATACAGAATACGATATATTTGGTAAGATTTATTAAATTCAAATTAACAACTTCAAATGGTCAGATAAGATGAGACACGAGAGCTGCGGTGGTTGTGGAATAATCTGTATTGGTTCAGCTGGTGTAGGTTGTGACGTAGGTTTCTATATTGTTTAGCTTTCTGTAACGGACACGATCCAATTACACTGCAGTTGTGCAAATTCAATTGTCATTGACCTCGTCATCCCTCGGGTACACGTTAATTGGACCATTACACTTATAGATTTTAATACAAGAAATAACACTCTTTTTTCGGAATTGTCTTTAAATGCAACCACTATTACACTGAGCGTTTTATAACATTAATCGTAATGCGACATTGCAAGTATATAACTGTAAAGTTATTACCCGGTTTCAGATCTCGTTTTCACTCTTAGTGGGTCGTTGTCGACGTGGGAAACTCGTCGCACGATGTCGCAAATCGTTCTGCCTCGTTTAAGCCTCGTTTAAATACTCATACTGAGGGTCCCTACATGATCATCACGCCTGTTTATATGAACCCCAAGCCCAAGAGAATTAGCAACAATTGTCATCTTTACCTAATTTTGTGCGCCCTTTTTATCTCATCAAAATACTACATTGATTTCCAGAAATAGGGGAATCTGCGGTTTAATCTACATATTCGAATTTCGACGCGAGATTATCAAATATGAGATTAAAACTGACGAGATTATCGAGATTACAAGTATCACACAGATTAAAATTGACATAGTAATATAATAATCCATTTAAGAAAGGAAAATTGAATTTAACTAACTGTTGCTAGCAATAAAATTTTCACATTATATGGTTATTATTAGTTAATAACATATTTTAAAATAGCCTATTTATTTCTGTAATTATTTATGTAATTAAATATGCGCTCTCTATAGAGTATATTGCATATTGTAGTAAATGAGAAAATACGATTACAAAAGTTGCTATTAACATGTTAAATACAATTTAACGGCAATAACAGAATTATTTAGAAATTGCTTCTAACCAAGGTTAGCGAGGAAGTTTGATCAATTATGAACAGTTAGTATTTTATTACTACTGCTATAATTTATTTCAGTAATCTGTTCAATAATTTTCAGAAAATCTCATTTCAGAAAATCCTGATCCAGTAACTTTATTTTATCATTATTTCAATTTATTTATTATCTCTTTATTTCATTCTTCTTCAGGCAATTTAATTTCCTTTTCATTTAATGTCGCTTTTTACATTTTACTACGCTTCAAACTTTTAATCTTTATATCTTTTTTTATACATCAATTTATTTATATCTACTTTTATATTTATTTTGTATTATTAAAATTTACAAAAATGTTATTAAAAGTTTTATCATACATTATTCATATTTTATTTCATACTTTATCATTCTGTATTGGACTCCTAAATATATAAATTAGTTTAATTTATGTTGGTTGTCTTACAAAAGTATGTGTCAAAGAGATTGCTCGCACGAAGATATCGTGGATTATGAATTCATAGGTACATGAATAGTTGACGAAATAAACAAGAGATTGTAAGCGCGTAGGGTATTCTAAGCATTTGTGAAATAGACAAAATAAAAAAAAACACGATCTTCAAGAATGTTTGACAATTATCCCTGAAAACAGGGATTGTAACAACGTGTGGTAAATTAATGGAACTGCAATTTAGTAGTAAAATCGACGTTACAAACATCTCATTTATTAATGGTGATATCCTATATACTGCGCGTGCAAGGATGAGACCGTCTCTGATAACAAACAGTGCTTACACGCAACCACTGAAACACGATTAAAACTACATATGTCCTTGAATGTCTAAAAAAAAAATAAATTCTACTGTTACACAGATTTGTAATTTGTAAAAGAACTCACAAAATAAAACATTTTTAACATTATTTTTAAGATTTTTAGAAAAAATTATATTATAGAAGGTCACTCTGTCATCCCTTTTTGCCATTTTTACATTATTATTGTTATTGTATACTTATTTATTACATAAATGTATTTATGCGAACAATAATCTTACATCTACATTTTACGAGGAATATAAAAATAACTAAGACAATAAAATTTTACAGCACTAATCTAAAAGTTACACATTAATTTATAGCAATCATTATATCATTCTACCATATAATTGTAGGTGAATGACATACGATATTATTCAATTTTTTTAAGTACAATATAAATCGTTATTCTATGCCTAGAAATATTAAAAGTAATAAAATTCAAGAATTATTATGTTAAAATCAGAAGATAAATGAATGACAAAAATTTTTTATTCTTTTTTTTAATAGTACATCTATATATATATTATTCTTGGATATCAATTTAAAGCATGATAAGATTTTATTTTTAATATATCAATTTTTACTTACCTTTATTTTATGTAACTGCTTTTGAGGAAGAAACGAAGAGAAGATGTTAGAGCAATAAAATTTTCTTTATGTTCATAGATTGATTTTACATAGAACTGTTTGTCTCTTTAACACAAATCGCTTTTGCATCGCTAGTATCGGAATTTTGGAGATCGAGCTGATATTGACGAGAAGTAATATGATTTCGCGAATGGAATCACAAGACGTCTGACCACGAGGACATGCGAAACGATACTCGGCCGAAGAAAACGAACAGTTCAATGTCAGTGGACAGATGACACGCGATCGATTTGCTCTGCTCAGGGAAATCGACGGTCAACATGTACCGATATAATTAGACTGCATGTCGAACACGAGACAAACAAGTCATCATTTGCAATGGCGACCTGACATTCTATGATGCGCAGTGGGAAATCTGTGCTGGGATAAAAACGTTTTGATAAATTTGATAAGATTATCGCTCGTATTTAATCAAAAACAAATAATTTGAGTTATGGCCAATAAACGAGCAAATATTTAGATGTAGATATAAATTCATATATTTTCAAGATTGGAGACTGTCTGAGGAATGTTTTTTTCTGTGAAGTGTATAAACCATTTTTCGTTTATGCAGTCAAGAGGTTTCTTATATTCTCTCAAAAAATGTATCGGTTTAATAGCAGTATTAGTTAATTAGTGTCTCTTCACTGTGAACTAGAGAAGGTTTTTCTGTGAATGTATATTTTACATTATTTATGTGGTTCTATGTTGTTAACCTTACAGTAATAGTTTATTGGTTTAATTTTATTAACGTTTTTTGTAAGTTTTTTTATAGAGTAGTCCATCAAATTTTAATTGGTGAATTTTAAATATTCTATAGTCGTAACCACTAAAGGCTAAGGGGTGGAATGTCGTTCCAAATGTGAGCTGGCAATGAGTTCGCAAGAACGTTGTTGAGACGTATAAATTCTTTTTCATGATAATAGATAAATCTATGCAAGTTGAAAATCTCAATGTTCAGAACATCTCTCCGTATCTTGTTTAAAACGTTATCAAACCTATTTATCGATCTGTAGAAAAATAGATTGATTTTCGATAACCTTATATGTGAAATGTGTGTCGAAAACACATTATGTTGTTTACAAAGTTTCAAACGCAATAAGACTGATTTCTGAAATGGTACATATAAAAGAACAAACCAACGGAATTAATTTAAATAAAAACACTGAATTGCTCAACAAAGTTTATTTTGATGTACTTGATACGACTCAACAAGGGCTTTCAAATGCTTAAATAAAAAATGTGTTAATATGTGCTAATTGTCATTGTGATCTTTGCGGTATATAGTTCATTAGCTTCCACCGGAGAGCTCAGTGCTTGAGAATTTAAATAGTACGACCTTTGCGACATACATTATATTAGCTTCAAAGAGCTCACTTGTTGCTTGAAACTAAAAAATTTGTAAAACATCACGCGCCATGGGTTTGCGAACTTGGTTACCATATACCGGATGTATACAGTAAGTGGAATTTCAGCGAAATAATTATAAATATTCATCCCCGGTAATAAAATATCACAAACGTTACTCTAAAAATCTCTTCTCCATTAGGCAGAGCTTTTTCATAAAAACGGTCACCTACTTGTATCACTCAGCACAAAAAAACAGTAACAACATCGTGATAAGACACATTCTCGCATAGGAAACAAAGAATTTGTTACATCGTTGACTTACGAATTTTAATATACTTTACCGACTTTTCTGAAATCATTTTGACTCCGTTTTTAACATGTTATTAAGATTTATACGAATAATATATGTCAATCTTGTAGTTACGTGCGAGGATGTAAATGTTAAGTTTATATAATGTAGTTAAAGATAACTGAAGAGAACTCGTCATGAATTATTGTATAATTGAAAATCTATGAATTTATATCTACATCTAAATATTTACTCGTTTAATGGCCATAACTCAAATGTTTTGATACCTTCCCAGGCAGAAATGATCGGTCCATAGACGTCGATTTGATGTCTATAGACATCGATTCGACGTCGATTTGATGTCTATAGATGTCTATGGACCGATCATGTCTGCTTGGGTTGCATATAAATGTTTGTTTACGAAGTGGACCATTTTAATCGAAGAGGTTCTATAATTCTATTAGATATCATTTTCCAAGAAAACATTTCAGAAAGTTGTTCGGTATTTGAAGGGATACGAAGTGGTAACAGTGTGACCTTAGCTGTGATCTTCAAGACCAGTTCAAGATCAATAAAACTTTTTCAAACAAGATTGTTTACTTTTAGAGGAGAGAGGATAGATCGTGATAAATGTGGGATGGTGAGATATCATCTTATATAGTTTGCGTTGAATTTGAGAGGTAATCGTTAAAATTATTTCATTACGTTTATTTAAACATTGTGACATGATTACTGATCATGATATATAGAAAACGAATAACTACTTATCCATTCCGAGCCAGAAATCTGTAATTTATGATTTGTCGCATATATGTATATTTCAAATAATTACTTAACGTTTACAATTCATACATCTTATATATTAAGTGCTAAAATATTGTAATAATCTCTTAAAAGCATGAATGCAAGAAATAAAATAATTTTAATATAATATAGTTCTTTGTATAACATATTTTTTTTATTACGATAAAAAAGAAAATGCAAACAGTTAATTTGTAACAAAAATTAAAAAATGTACAATACTAAGAAAATTTAACTTGTATTAATTTACCAATAAAATAATATGAATGTCAAGAGATACATAAATTAAAATATAAGTTTGTCAGAAAAGCTATAAAAAACTATTTTACTTTAACTTTCATATTTTCGTAATATGTAAATAGGATAGTTAAGATCTACATTATTTTACAATATAATTTGAGAAGGCAAACAGTTCAATTTCTCGCTTCTACCCTTTATCACTTTCAGCCAAGCGTCGTAAATCCAGATGACATGTAACTTGAACGTCGCGATTGTCGTGTGAAAATCCGCCGAATGTGAGTTTGCGCAAGAGTTCGAGAGGCGGCATTTAACTCGAGAGACAATATCCCGTCGCAGTACTGCCGTCGTGTCACCGATATTTCCAAGAGAAAAATTGAATACGTGCTACGAGTTTGAATGCGCTTTCGCCCTCCCATGATCCCCGATGCATCGCCTTTGATCAACTGCGGATCAAATTGTTCTACGGATCGGCTGATAATGCTCGCACACGCGTAGATAGACAGTAAAATAACTCAGCACGGCAGCTACGAAATTGCTGTGGATGCACCAAGCGAACCGTTGCAAACTCGCTATCGAGCCAACTACTTGCTTCGAGATGATACGCGATATTATATAATCTCATCAAACTTGATTTTCCTCGGTTTATTTTACGTACAATTTAATTTTATGTGAAGTGGAATTCATTGAACGGTAACATTTATAATAAAGTACGAAAAGTATGTATATATATATAAGATCTAAATCTATTAATAAGATCTAGATTAAGTCGAACAATTAATCCCTTGAATCTTGGCTATGTACCTAATATACATTCTTTTTATTTAATACCTCATTAATTGAATCCGTAAGTGATTTTTAATTGTAATTTAATGTAATTTCTATGTACATAATGTAAAAACATTGTAATTTCATGTAATTTCTACATACACAATATTTTTTTTAAAAACATGTCTATGTATTCGATGGGATTAATTGTTCGACTTAATCTAGATCTTATTACAGGTCGTACGATTAAATTAATCTAACAATAATAGTTTTTTGACGAATCACTTATATTGCGCGAGTTGCGATATATGCCAAGAAGTTGTGACGCCGTAAGGTCGGATTAATTTTAACGATAACGAGGATTTAACAGCCCGCTTTCCGAAGTTTCGAAAGTTCAACTCTGAAGTTTTCCTCAAAGTGCCGTAATTTGTGACAGTTGCATCAAGTCAGCTGGTCATTGGTTCGTTTCTTACGGTTATTAATACGGTTTTATTAATTAAAAATATATAGCGCGAAATAAAATAAAATTCCTACTTTAGATCAAACACTTATTTAAAGTAGAAAATATATCATTATTATTATTATTTTCTTTTATTATTCAATTAAATTGGTACGACTTATCATTGGAGTCATACGACTTACTCTTGTTAGTAAATACATATACATTTTTTTCCGCAATTTAACTTTAACAAAGAGCACCACTTATTACGAAGATAAAGAAAATAAAATAAAATTATAAGGCTACTAACAATATTGCCATGCAAGAAGAGAAAATCATGATAGACAAATAGATGAAACATATTGCTTCTAGCACAGCTATACTTTTACATAAAATTTGTAAAATTTTTTCTTAAACCAAAATATGCAGATCATAATTTGTACATCGTTTGTAAAAATGCCAAGTAATATTACTGATTGGATAAAATTAAGTACTTTACATATCTCGAGTTAGATAATAACTTATTTTGAGCCAAAAAGAATCTAATTAAAATCATCATAAATATGTATAATTATATTGGAAATAAATGTTTTTACAAATTTATATGCGTATAGATTTTTCTCTTAAATTTATGTGTTCATTATATTAAGCTACAATTAATATTTTAAAATTTTGTAAAATGTAGATACTTTACTTTAATATTTGTAACAGCTGGAGCTATGATTCAGCAGTTCTCAGGCAACAAGAAACTTATAACGTTAGAACGTTATTGTTAGAAACGTCTAACAATAAGTTACAGCATTACAGACTGACATGGAGAGACCTGCGGAAGAACGTCGCAAAAACACGAATAGGACGTCGCGACGTGTCATTCTTGGAATCCTCTTTTGCCTCTAACTGTGAAAGTTTTATCTCGCACAAACGTGTGCCGAATTTTAAAGTCGGCTACAAGAAATGTCACTTCTTCGTTTGACACGATTATTGCAGATCAATGTTGAATATATTATAACAATAATGCTCCTTCAATTCAATAGGCTACAGATTTCAAGATTCACGTTTGCAATAATTTTTTTAATGCAGTAATATATGTATATATATAATATAAACTTTTTAATAATAAATGGTAATAAAAATTTATCAAACTTTTTATTTGAAAAATATTACTTTTTAAAGTGTTATTAAAAATGATAGTATTCTTTCGTTCTAAGACATTTTTTAGTATCATTGCCATTCAACCTTTATGATTTAATAATTCTTACATTCTATGTTGTCTGTCTAAAATTTTAGAAGTAGAGATTCATCTGCCAAGACTAAATTCAATTTTCATGTTTGTTAAACATTTTTTAAAGTTCTCTTTAAGATACTAAGACACTAAATTTAATGAAAGAAATAAACTGCAATGTTTATCACAATACTACTTTAAAATAATA